AAATTATACAGATGGAGAAGAGACTAGTGATTGTCTGTGGTTAGGAATGAGGGGAAGGGGGAAAACCAGGTACAATTATAAAGAGATAGCATGAATGATCTTTGTGGTGATCAAATAGTTCTAATACTGATTGTGGTAATAGTCGCATGAATATGTGATAAAATTACACAGACCTATATTCATAAACATATAAACACATACACAAACAAGTACTTGCAAAACTGAGCAATCATAATAATAAGGTCTATTGTACTCTAATTATATAAGATGCTTACTATAAGGGAAAACTGGGTGAGTAGTACAAGAGACCACTCTGTGCTTTATTTTTGCTACTTTCTATAAATCTATAATTACTTCAAAATAAAAAGATTTTTATAAAAATATTCAGGCTTCTTTTACACAACTCCCAGCACCAGTATATCGTCAAGACGCTAAAGTCTCTTTCAGAGTCTAAGAATCATGTTAGATCTCTTCCTTCCAGAGATGGTCTGCAATCCATGTTGTTATCCTCTTTTTTTTTTTAATATTTTTTAAATATTTTAAAAAACAGGCACTGTTGTAGATGAACACAATACCCTTATTTTATTTATTTATATGTATGCTGAGGATTGAACCCAGTGCCTTACATGTGCTACACAAGTACTCTACCACTGTGCTACAACCCCAGCCCATGTCCTCTTTTCTTTTTATTTATTTATTTTGGTTGGACACAATACCTTTATTTTATTTATTTATTTTTATGGTGCTGGGATCGAACCCAGGGCCCCATAAGTGCTAAGCAAGTGTTCTACCACCGAGCCACAATCCCAGCCCATCCTCTTTTCTTTTTAAATCAATAGTTACTAAGGGTTTACTGGATGTCTGGCCTTGTATCAGAAGCTAAGTTATATAAGATCAATTATTTATGAAACCTTCTGAAGTGAGCTCTCAATCTAATGATAATAAAAAGAATATAATAGGGCTGGGGTTATAGCTCTGTGGTACAGCGCTTAGCATGTGTGAGGCACTGGGTTCGATTCAGAGCACCACATACTAATAAATAAGTAAAATAAAGGTCCATCAACAACTGAAAAAGAGGATATGAAAAAAGCATTGGAAGAGAAGTAAAAAAATTTCTGTTTTGAATTTACTTACTAGACATTTGATTTTGTACCAATTCTTCACCTTTTGGCATGCTGATTTCTTAATCTGCAAAACGGAATAGAACATATATAAATATGTTGCGTTTTTTGCCTGTTTGTTTTTTTTTTTTTTTGATAGAAACGATTGACCCCAGGGTCATTCAACTACTGAGATACATCCCCAGCCCTTTTTTTATATTTTAGAGACAGGGTCTTGATGAGTTAATTAAGGCCTCACTAAGTTGCTGAGGCTTTGAACTTGAGATCCTCCTGCCTCAGCCTCCCAAGCTGCTGGGATTAGGCACCCACCTATAAATATGTATTTTAAACTTAACCTAGGGCTCCTGGGTAAATTCTAGGGTATACGTAAATTCTTTGAAATTATGTGCAGAAGCACATAACTGTATCTCTGTCCTAGGAAAAGGTATTTATATATATATTTGATTCTGAGCAACCTATAAAGGTTTAAGACAACTGAACTGGATTTTTTAATTCAATTTCTTAACAGTCTTCCATTCTAACAGTCCATTTTCTAACAGATCTCTAAGATCCCTCTTCTATCTCTAATATTCCATGATTCCAATAAGGATGGAAGAAATGGACCAGAGATGTGACATTTCATGATTCGTTCCATGATTCATGATCTCAAATACCATAAAATTTCACTCTCTTTTCCAATGGGACAGGTTTAAATTTTAAATATGTAACTCTATGACCTTTATGACTTACCCTCCCACCAACCTTCCAACCTCATCTCACCCCTTCTCTAGGTCCTAACCACTCCATCTAGCTTGTAGTTTGCACAAAATTTTGCTCCCGTTCACTATACCCCTTTGTATATAGTGGTCAGCTCTTCTACTTTATCAAAAAGAAAAGAAAAAAAAAAAAAAAAGGTAGAAATCTCCCAAGATTTAATGGCAGCAACTAAATACCATGAAAGATCCATTGTGATGACTTTCAAGGGTTTGAAATCTAATCCAGTGGATTTACTTCTACCCATGCAAGGGAGACATCCTACAGGAAGGGCAAGTTTGGCATAAGGGCCACTGTGTGTTGATCATTGTTAAATATGCCCATTCATCCTCCACAGAGCTCAAAGGCAAGCAAGGGTCATATGGGGTAGGCATCCCTTTCTGGACTTCGGTTTCTCTTTCTGTGAAATGTAGATACAAAACCTGTTTATGAATCATCTGTCAAACAGAACATTATAACATTTATGGAAGGGCTGTCAACGCTACACACTATTACCTGCATCTTTTAAATTCACGCCATATTTCTTATTTCGCAAATAAGAAATGATAAGCAATTACCTAATGAAAACAGCAGCAAACTTTTATATTTATATATATATGTGTGTGTATATTATATATATAATTCAATTATATATATAATTCAACTATATATATGTATATATAATACCAATGGATCTTTATTTTTATTTATTTATATGTGGTGCTGAGAACCGAACCCAGTGTCTCACACATGCTAGGCAATCGCTCTACCACTGAGCCCCAGCCCCTGCACAGCAAACATTTTTAAAGCTCTATCTTTCCAAGGGCTTTATTTAATTCTCCCAACAATTCTGAGGTAGGTACCATCACCGCCAGGGGCCGTCAGGGAAAGAACTCTTGCAAAGGAAATTCCAAGCCAGCCTGACTTGAACACTTCAGCCCAGAGCAGATCAACAACATTATATTGTAAGTCACATTTGTAATTTAAATTTTCCTAGGAGAGCGAGAGTGTATTAGTTTTTCGGCCGAGGCACCGGAACTTGAAGTCTACCTCTTCTCTTCTGGGCTCCCCCTTCTGCGCCTTTTTCGGCTCGCATTCCAACTCATGCTCCGACACCGACGGAAGTCAGGGGTGCTACCACCTAGCGAGATTCCCTGCATGCTGAGATTCGACGGCCGCAATACGTTCTCAGTGACCTCCTGACGTGACTGCACAACGCTAGGGGGCGTTGCTTGCGGAAGCCAGGGTTCGGCTTCCGGGTGCTCTTGCGCTGACCTGATCATAGAGAAGCTAGAGGAGACTCCCACTTCCGGTCGCTCCAGCTGCTTCGCCGGTGCAGGTAAGCTCGGCGAGCTTCGGTGGGTCTCGAGTCCGCCTCTAGCAAGGGTGGTGCGGGCTCCGCTCTTAGCGAGAAACATCTCCCTCACCCTAACCTCACGCAGACGCAGTGCTGAACCCACAGTTGCCGGACAAAGAGTGACGCCGGGAGCCGAAGTCATGGCGGCGACCGAGCCGAGCTTAGCAGCCACCGGGAGCCCAGCAGCTGCGCCGCCCGAGCTGCAAGAGGGAGCCGACCCTGAGCCCAACTCTGCGGGATCCTGGATTTCAGAGTCGTCTCCGCCTGCCCCTGAGCCCGCCAGCGCCAACGCCGCGATCCCTGAAGTGAATCCTGCGGCCCCCGAGCTGCCTCTGGGGCCCGCACCCCTGGGTTCTGCGCCTCAAGCCGAAGCTGCCCCGCACTTTCCTACAGGTCCGAGTGGCTCCAGGCCCGGCCCCGAAACGTTCCGCCAGCGTTTCCGGCAATTCCGCTACCAGGACGCGGCTGGCCCCCGGGAGGCGTTCCGGCAGCTGCGGGAGCTCTCTCGCCAATGGCTGCGGCCCGACATCCGCACAAAGGAGCAGATGGTGGAGATGCTGGTGCAGGAGCAGCTACTGGCCATTCTACCTGAGGCAGCGCGAGCCCGGCGGCTCCGGCGCCGCGCGGACGTGCGCATCACCGGCTGAACGGCGAGGCTGAGCACTTTCTTAGACTGGGGCCATGATGGGTCGGGGGTCAGAGCCTGGCACCCCACCCCATGTTAATGTAAAACGAGTTTTGACAGCTCCCGTGGCCTTAGTGTGTCTATTTTGTTCGTCCTTCATTGGGTTTATTTCACTGAGTTTATTTCCTACCTCCTTTCTGCTGTTAGAGAAAGGAAGCTGGAAGCCCACGAGAATAAAGCCTTTGCTGTTCCCTGGGCTTTTTTCGTTGCCTATTGTGAGATCCTTAAATGTTGGCTAGACCTGGACCATTCCTCCACCTCATCTGTGAAGTTTTTCTTCTGGACTCCCAAGAACCCTCTTGGGTTTCCTTTGTTTAGTGGAAGGCTGTTTGATGAAGATTTCAGCAGTTCCATTCCTCCTCTGCCTCTAAATGGCTAGAACCTGAGTTTTGTTTCCTACCTGAATAGATAGATAGGGATACTTCATGGCTGTGGGATTCTGAAGGCAGGATAGCTGAATCTATTAAATGCTCACTTCAATGGCTACCTCTGTACCTATACAGCTACCAACTTGCTCCACCTGCATTTTGAGCATAAGTTTCCCAAGTTATTTGGCTATTTTCATGTCAAATGTTTTATTTACTGCTTGCCCTGTTTTGTGAGCCAGGGTTTATGCCATTGGACTTGCTTATTAAACCTGCTTGACTTCCTTGTCAAAATTTAGGCCCCTAATCCCAGCAACTCAGGAGAGGTTGAGGCAGGAAGATGGCAAGTTCAAAGGAACTTAATGAGATCTTGTATAAAAATAAGCATTTGTATATTCTTGGGATTTCTTGGCAGAGTCTGGGTTTGCCTCCTGCAAAACATAGATTGTGTTTAAAAGATAAAAGCAGGCTTCCTTTAAAAGGTAATGGTTACAAGCAGGGCACGGCCTGTAATCCTAGTAACTTGGGAGGCTGGGGAGGAAGGATCACAAATTCAGGGCCAGACTTGGCAACTTAGACCCTCAGCAAGGTAGAGAACCTGTCTCAAAAAAGCTGGGGATGTAGCTCAGTGGTAAAGCACCCTTGGGTTCAATCCCCAGTACTGCAAAGAAAAAAAAAAAGTTACAGAAGATTAAATAATACATATTAAAAGTAAGAAAAAGAACTTTGTAATTCAGTAATATGTGACTGAAACAGCAACAAGAACCTGTTTTATTTTTTTCCAAATACAGATACAGAAGTTTGCATGTTTTTGCAAATATTGCTTCAAAGCAACATTTCTATATACAGCGCCTTCTGTTCTACTAGCGCGTAAACATAGATATGTATCCACAGTGCAATGTTGGCTCATTGAGAATCCACCTTGTATAAACTCATCAATTAAGCAAAATGATTAGTCAAACCAGAATTGTTTTTGTCAAGGCAGTTTTTTATAGGTGGATAGCTTTTCTCAATAGACAAAATTTAGGTAGTGCACATATTTCTAAATGGTAATCAGCAATGTTTGCAAATAACAGTTTCCAGTGCTCCAACTTGGGGTTAATTCACCTTGACCCAGGAATTGGGAATGGAGCCCCTCAACATGGCTTTAAATTAGGGAAGCACACTGAGATTATCAGAACTTTGGGGAGTCTTCCCTGCTTCCCTAAGAACAAAAGTCACAATGAGTGAAACAGGATTATTTTATAAAACCTAAATGATAAGTCGTCCAGTAATGGCCACTTGACAAAATTAGGATAATTCAGTTTCAGCTTCCATCTTTGGACAAGACATTAAATTGACTATCTTAAAAATTACAGCTTCCCCAATTGTGATACTCAAATGTAGTTTCAGAAAAATCAGTAATAATACAACAATCGATATAGCCCCACAGTTATGGCTATAGAAAATCATCCTGTTTCTTCCCTTTTCAGATAAACATTACACAAATCTTAAAATGCAGCTGTCTGATAAATAATCCAGAACACAGATGCCACACAACACTGAGCCATTTCTTCCCACACCAGAAACACCAATGCAGTGTGAAACAGCCTCTTGTAGAGGAATTGTGTCAGCTTCCTTACAGATGTTACAGCCACATGGATCAGTTACACAGGTCAACTTGTCCTAGACAGGGCATTCCTTGAAACATCTTAGGTCCAGAGGCCTGAATTTACGAAGACAATGACCTGTGTCTTAAAGCCCAACCATTCCAACAATTGCTGGAGATACTGTCATTGCTATTGAGATATTGGCTTTTACGTTTACATAGTAAATATTTGCAGCATATAACATTACAGATTCATAAACCCATAATTGTGTTAATGGACAGCTGTGCTTCGATTTTTATCTTTAGTGATAAGAAAATCAGTGAATCAGGTCATTCCTCAAAGCAAGGAACGTTTTAACTTTGCCCAATAAAAACAAAAGAAAATACAGCAATTACATGTGGAACTGTAACCTGCAAAAGTAACACAAATATTGTTTCCAAAGGTACAAACAGATGAAACTTGGACCTTAAGCAGCATAATCACCTTGATCTCACAGAGTAATATAAACAGGAAATTTAAAGTGTTAAAGTATATTAACAATTCTGAAAATGCCAACTATTGAACATACCTTTCAGGGAAGGAGAAAAGTGGCACATAGAGAATCTGAAGTTTGTTGACCACAATACAAAATAAAGTAATTCCCCAAACCACATTCTTTGTAACAAATCTTTACAGTGGAAGAGTTTGACATTTTGGGAAACTTTTTTTAAACCTTAAATAGAACTAGGAAGCTGTCTTAAGAAGTGGATAGAAAATTCTGTCCTTTGGGTTCTAGACCCTGCCTGCTTCAGTTTGGAATTCCTCCTAGATTCTTTTACATCAAGATTCTAGTTCCTTCAGCTGTATGGCCTCTGTGAAAAGCCAAAACCCAGCCAACTCTGGGGTGAAACATAAAACTTGTCCCTGGTACCATAAAGTCATGCAAGAGATGTGGTGAGAAAAGTGAAGAGTCCTAAGGAGAAAGCAGGGCAGTTGAGGCCTCTGCTCCTTCCCAACTTCCGCAGCGTAGTCAAGTCCCAACATTCCTGTGAAGCTGGAAAATGAAAATGATACCTGCTGCCTAAACATGCCAGGCAGAAATCAAAAGGTTTGGCATGTGCCCCAACCTGACAGAAAAGTCAATTAAATAAACTGTAAATTGAATCTACAACTGTTTCCAACAACTTTTTTGGCTCTCATTCCATTTATCATCAGTGGCACGATTTCAAGTGAAGTTTGTGCAAAAAGACTCTCTTCATTCAATGATGTGCACAGAAGGGAATCCCAAGAGTCTATTTGCTACCTTCTTGGTAGGCTTCCAGATCAGAGTGCCCTGCCCTCCAGCAGCCAAAATGGCCTCTTTGTCAATGTCTTCACACTCCTGGCCAGATCCCTGAAGTTAGTCGGTGTCACGTGCATTCAGCATGCTAGATTTATTTATTTAAATATGTGAAGCTCCTCCTGCAGGTGCCCCGGGATTGTGTCCCCATTAGTCTTGGTTGCCCAATTTCATGTTGAGCAGCAGAGGGCGATCTGCTGCACCTTGCCCAGGTCTGTCAGCAGTTGCTTGATGCAATGCTTGAGCTGCGGAAGCCTGGCCAGCGGCTCTGGGGGCTCCAATTCCCCAGTGTAGTCTAGCCAGCTCTCCAGCACTGTTGGCAGAAGAGAGAGATGAAACCCAGTGAGCCCCCAACACTTGATTTTCAAGAACCTCAGCAAGAGTTTCAGCTCCTTATCTCATCCGAATACTCAGGAGGACAGGGAAGAGGGCCATTTCAGCCAATGTTGCTTCAACACCTGGCCCACAAAGCATTACTCCTGGGACAGAGCTCAAGTGCTTTACAGCAGCATAGTCCAAAAGAACTCTTTGACAATGAAAGTGATCTATGTTTCTACTATCCAAAACAGTAGCCACTAGCTATTGTTTTGTTGCTACTAAGCACTTGAAACGAGGCTGGTACAACTGAAAAGCTGAATTTTAAATTTTATTCAATTTTAACTAAATGGCCACACATTGCTACTGGCTATTGTGTTAGTGCAGATTATAGAAGGCTTTAAAAGACCCACTTTTCCTAGTGTCACTGCCCACTCTTTCTAAAGTTTTCCAGTGTTGTCAATATCCTGGTATTTTAGCCTCCTGTCAAGAAAGGTGAAAATCTGCCAGGCATGGTGGCACATACCTATAATCTCAGCTACTTCAGAAGCTGAGGCACAAGGATCACAAGTTCAAAGCCAGCCTGTGCAACTTAGCGAAGCTCTGAGCAATTTAACAAGATCCTGTCTCAAAAAATAAGAAGGGCTGGGGATGTGGCTCAGTGGTTAAGTGCCCCTGGGTTTAATCCCCAGTACCAAAAAACTTTACAGGGATTTGAAAAGGTCAGTTTTTATCACCATCAATTCTGATTTGCTTTATTAATTCTTTTTTTATTATTTTTAGTTGTTAATGGATCTTTATTTTATTTATTTGTATGTGGTGCTGAGAATCGAACCCAGTACCTCATGCACGCTAGGCAAACACTTTACCACTGAGCCACAACCCAGCCTTTGTATTAATTCTTGATTGACACATAGTTATTGGTTGCATAAAATACTCTTATTTTCTGCCTTTAAGTATTTAATATAAGATATCTAGGTTCTAATATACTTAATAATTGGTTCAACATCTAAAAAGCTATTTTTCTTACGAGGCAAGGATTTTTCTATAGAAAGATGTTTGCCTTCCCCTTAACAAAACTCTGGCTTTGGTGGAGAGACCTTTGGGAATTCTACACCTTTGTCAAGAGCCACTTAGACCTTCCACTTACACTCTGTGCTTACCCCATCTTGCCTGTAGCCTTTCTAGTCCATGCACCAATCTACACTGAGCACCTTCTGGATTCTGGAGGGCAGAAAGAAGACCCTCCCGATGCCTGTTCCTCAAGCAACCTGTCACCTGTCACACAATCCCCTCCCTTCCTCAAATATGAGCCCTAACTTACCTCTTCATTCTCCTAAATTCTCTGTTCCCTGCAAGTTATTCCTTAGGGATGCTTTCCCCAACTCTCCTTCCGGAATCTGGTCCCTGTATTACAGGTGCTATCACACATTCTTCCTTGAGCACTTACCATGGTTTGTAATTTCATGTAATGAGATGATATCATTGATATTTGTCTCTTCTAACAAAGTGAAGATATAAAATGAACTGAGGATCTCCCTAAAAAGGGATTCTGATGAATCTTACATATAATGCAAAAGTGTGTTAACTAAATAAGTCTATTTACTTAAATAAAATTGATTTTCTTGCATACTTGGTGCCTCTCAGGGCCTGGAGTGATGAAAAACATAAGAACATGTGAGTCTCAATCAGTGGGACACAGTAAAGGTCTGCTGGGAGACCAGAGGGAGCCCAGGCTTATCATCTTGCCACAATGCCCACTTGGTGAATCCAGGGCTCAAGGAAGATAAGATCTGCATAGGCTCCAACTTCTCCCCTGAGGGTGGTTCCTTTGGCAACAACAGGACATTCATCCTGTCTCCATGGTGCTAAGCTTCCTCTCAGAGACCCAGAGACACTTCTCCCATTCTCTCAAAATCTACAATTTCCAGTCTGGCATTCAATCTTCTTAGCACGGTTTTTACATACAGTAGCATCAACTATAATTTAAAAAAACCTAAGAAACATCTTAGAAGTAAAAGAGATATACGCCTTCCAGATGTGCCCTTGGGCTTGCCTCAGAGGCAGGATGTGAGCTTGAGGATGTGCAGGTCAGTCAGTCCATCTGTCTCTCCACCCACTCTCTCTTCCTTTCTGTTCTCCAACAGGTCAGCCCTTTTCACATTGACCTAGTGCTCTCATCAACCACCAACCAAATCACCCCCTCTCCAGCAGAAAACATCACCACTCCCTTCAAAGTTTGGCAGCAGTTCCAGGAGTTCCAAGAAGGCTTCCTGTCAATATTTTCCAGCCCTGGTGTGGCCTCAATCACATGCAGGTCCTGGTCATTCCTCACCTAACTTGGCATTCTTCTCTGAGTAATATTTCTTGTATGTTTTGTATCCCCCAGTAAAGACATCCTAGCCTGACTATAACCAGAATCTTCAAACTCAACATTTATTTCTTAATTGGGCTCAGTTTTTAAGAAGAAAATAATCTGGAAATAAATAAACAACCAAGAAATAATTTTATCTTCAAAACCAAAACTGGCAATTTCCTGAGGGTCAAGAGAGACTAAACTTGATCATGTACATAATTATAAACTCAGTCCATCCAGCCTGTCCATCACCATCAACAACAGAGAGAAATATCCTGGGCTACACAAATGACTCAGCCAATTTCTTAATTCTCTACTAGCTAAAGGGGAGAAGGCTTCATTTTAGAGTTTATCAAAGATTGAAATAAAAGGTTTTCAGATTATATCTTTAAACATACTAAAAATTCAAGTCAAAATTTTAATTTCCCAGAGAAATGTGTCAGTAAAGATTTGCTCAGATTACACATTCCCACAAGCAGGATCCAGCTGCTCTTCTGTATATTACCTTTTGTTGGTTTGGTTTGGTTTTCGTGGTAATGGGGGTAGAAGTCAGGCCCTCCTTTATGCTAAGCACATGCTGTACCACTAAGCTACACCTCCAGCCCTGCATCCTACCTTTTACAAAAGGGATTGGGCACAAGAAAGAGGGCTTCTGATATTATTGGACTTTACAAGTACCCAATAATACTATAAGTAAGGCTTGTACATCTTGGGGGTGGTGAGGCTAAAAAGAAGAGGCAATAATATAGATATCCTTGGATAGCCAGATTTTAGTGTGTGTGGGTGTGTATGTGTGTATGTGTCTGTCTGTCTGTCTGTCTGAGTGTGCATACATGCACCCAGAGAAGGGGTTGTGTGCATGGATATGGTAGTGGTGGTGTTGAAAAACCAACTCAAGGGGCTGAGTTGTGGCTCAGTGGCAAAGCGCTTGCCTAGCACGTGTGAGGCACTGGGTTCAATTCTCAGCACCATATATAAATAAATAAATGATCATTGGCAACTAAAAAATATTTTAAAAAAGAAAGCAAAAGCAACTCAAGCTGGTGTGATGGCACATGCCTGTAGTCCCAGCTACTCTAAAGGTTGAGGCAGGGATTACTTGAGTCCACAAGTTTAGCCTGGGCACCATAGTGAGACCCCAATTCAAAAGGGAAATTATCAAGAAAACCCAAGAAAGCGGCTCATGGAAGACAGAGTTCATGTCAATGGGCAGGTAGCCAAGGGAGGAGCCCTACCGTCCAACTCCTTTTCAATGGAATCCATTCTATGAGTGACTTCATCTTGAAGAGACTCCACGTGTGTCAGCAGGTTAAACTGCCACTGGTGCTGGGAGCTCAACAGCCCCTCTCCACCTCTATCCAACAGCTTCCGAGCAGGGGCTTCCTCTGGTAGGACCTTTTTGGAGACATAGTCTCTCACCTGAGGATGTGATGACATTTGAGTTACTAAGTTGCAAACCTCTGGAAAAACCAGCTGCCATCTGAATACTCCAAACCCCCATCTCCCTTTCCTCCTTCTCATGTGGATACTGAGCAGAAGTCTACCCAATGTGCCAATACCACCTCCTTGGGGTGGCCCAGAATATTCTTCCCCCTAGCTAGCTCAATGCCCCAGCCTGAAGTGGGTCACCAGGGACCAGGGAGCTTACTAGAGAAGTGTTAATGTGGATGACAGTTAGCACATGGGTCAGTACACATTTGGAGAATCCTGGCTCTGACTCTTGCTGAATGTGTGGCCTGGTGAGTTACTTCCCCTCTGAGCCTCCAGTCCCTATCTTCAAAGACAGAGGTAGTAAAACCTACTTTGAAGGCTCATGAGGATCAAACAGGATAAGATATGTAAACACAGTGATGGCTTTAGTAAGCTCACTACTGCCTGAAGAAACCGAAACCCTTGGTTGCCTTGCCAGGTATTTTCTGATTTTGTATTAGAAAGCAGACCTAGTCCTCAGAACTGCAAATATTTTCTGGAGTTTGAAATCTCAACCTTTCATTCATTCAAAATGAAACAAATTCCAGTTAATACTGATTTAGTGCTTACTCTTACTATGTGCAAAGCAATGTTCTCAGAGCTTTTCACAAACAAATTCCACAATAACTGAGAGGCCCTGTCTGGGGGCCCCATTCTACAAATGAGGAAATAGGATTTCATGAAGGAAGTGAAGTAATCAGAATCACAAAGTGGCCGATACCAGACTTGAAACTGGGTCTGTTTGAAAAGACTGTCCTTACCCACACTGTTTAGACACAGGCAAGGGCAAAGGGTAAATGAGGTGTAATCCCCACCCTGGAAGGCATAGTCTAGGATGCTCCCTTTTGGCAAAATGCAGCACTATACTTAATGCTGATGATGCCAACCCTCCAGACAAAGTCTTTGAAAGCAAGCACGACCAGGGCAGAGAAATTCCAAAATCACACAAAGCCTCACTGACAATCTAAGGACAGGCACAATGGGACTGGTGAACAGTTAAAGATGAAAACACTGGCGATTACAGGATGACACAAAGGGGTTCCAAAGAGAATGGCTAATATACAAAAGACAGAAGGTTCTTTGGAAAACTATTGAAAGCAGTGAATATTCTGATGAAAGGGATCCTCCTTATGACACAGTGGCAAAGTTAAAAGTCAAAATAAGGATATCACAATTCTATCAAAACAGTATGCCTTATAACAATTAACAATTATTATTGCTAGGACAATTATGTTTAAAATATATATATATAAATTTTTCTTAGTTTCGTGTTTTCAAGTTCCAATCAACCCTACTCTCCTGCTACTTCCCACCTCTCCACCTGTCACCTCCACTCACTAGTGCCATTTTGTAAGGTTTCCTGGAACCTATGATCTTTGGACTCTCCTGACTTGATAGCCATTTTAGCAGATCAAAACACAATCTATGACAAGCACATTTAAATATGGTTCTATTAAAAACTTATGACCACTCAAACACTGAAGGAAGAACAAGTACAAGCAAAGCACATACCTTTGGGGAGCTGGGTTTGGGGTCATTGTCCCCTCTGTTCCTGTCTTGGTCTAGAGGCCAGCCCAGGCGAGGGGAGAGGGAATCGTCACCATTCTCACAAAGGGGGTTAACTGCATCATCAAGGGCAGAGCCCCGTGTCTCTACCACCAGCTTCTGTTCCACAGCAGGGTAATAGGCGCGGGGCTTCTGGTAGCAGTGCTCACTGGTGATATAAGACTCTTCCACAGACCGGGGCAGGGGCAGCGGCAGAGGCTTCTCCACCACCCCATTCAAAGTTCTATAGCTTGAGGCTTCCTCCTTGCTCCTGGCATCCGTGCCATGGATGTGTCTAGACTGAGCTCTGCCCTCCCCTGAGTGCTGTTTCCAAGGCTGGCACCACAGCTGTAGATCGGGATGCTCCCTGCTTCTGTTGGATGAACATGGAAAGGGCTATGAGGTAAACGGCACGACTGCAGGACTTCTCAGTTCCCAAACACTCTCCCAAGAAGAACAGCTCCCACTTGGGCCATCTGGCCACATGCCACCATTTTCCAAACAAGAGGGAACATAAATCCTTGGTCCCTTAGCAGAGAACTCCCATTCTGGACACGTGCCATCGGTGAATATGCCTGGACACAGCTGCTGATCAGCAGTGCAGCTGGGACAACTTCCTCAACCAGACTCATTTCTGCTTCCTCCTTCATTCATTTTTCACACTAGGAATTGAACCCAGGGTTGCTTTACCACTGAGTCGCATCCCTTGTCCTTTTTACTTTTTGAGACAGGGTCTCACTAAGTTGCTGAATCTGGCTTCAAACTTGTAATCCTCCTGCCCTCAGTCTCCCCCAACTACTGGGATCACAGGTGTGCGCTCTAGTGCCTGGCTCCTGCTTCCTTCTTCAGAAACTGGGCTAGTCATCTGTCTGCAAGCAACTTTGAGTTTTATAAAAATTAAGTGAACTGGATGAGTGCAGTGGCATATGTCTGTAATCTCAGCTACTTTACCAAGATCCTGTCTAGGTTCAATCTCCAGTATCAAAAACAAAGCACAAAATAATCCAAAGCAAAAGACCAACGTCTCAGCTCAAAGATGGTCAGAAGAGCTGGGCATGGTGGCACATGCCTGTAATCTCAACTGCTCATGAGGCTAAGGCAGGAGGATCACAAGTCCAAGGCCAGCCTCAGCAATTAAATGAGACCCTGTCTTAAAATAAATTTTTTTAAAAAAGGACCAGAAATGTAGTTCAGTGATAGAGTATGCCTGGGTTCAATTTCTAGTACCACAAAAACAAAAAATTAAGTGAATGATGAAGCACTCTGTTGGTGGTCAAGTGTTCTTCTCTCTCTCTCTTTTTTTTTAATGTTTATTTTTTAGTTCTCGGCAGACACAACATCTTTGTTTGTATGTGGTGCTGAGGATCGAACCCGGGCCGCACGTATGCCAGGCGAGCGCGCTACTGCTTGAGCCACATCCCCAGCCCCTCAAGTGCTCTTAATAAACAATCATAACAATCCTGGCATGAAATGGCACCTGATTACCAAAATACCATCATGACTGGCAACAGGGTGTGTAACTATCATGCTTATATGACCATTAATAATTTAGTTTCAGGCTGGGGTTGTGGCTCAGCAGTAAAGCACTCACCTAGCATGTGTGAGGCCCTGGGTTCCATCCTCAGCACATAAAAATGAAGAAAATAAAGCTACTGTGCCCAACTACAACTAAAAAGTAAATATTAAAAAAATAATAATAATAATTTAGTTTCTTTCCCCCCCCCCCCCGGTATTAGGGATTGAACTCAGAGTACCTCTACAAATAAGCTATACTCCCAATCACTTTAATTTAAAGATAGTCTCATTGAGTTGCCCAGGCTGACCTTGAACTTGGAATCCTCCTGCCTCAACCTCCCTAGTGGCTGAGATTATAGGTGTGTATGAGCACACCCAAATAATGAAGTTTCTAAAATTTTTTCTAAAATCTTCTACTTTCACCATTGTGAAGAGAAAAACTTGTTATTAAAGAGAAAAATCCTTTAAAGATTTTCTTTATAGGGTCACAGACTACTGAAAATCTGTTACAAACTGTGCCTACATGAATGTATACACAAAACTGTTTGACTTTTAGAGTCTCCCAGAATCATTCCCTCTTGAGCTTCAACCCAAATGAAGGTCGTTAAATTAATTTATTGGATTGCAATCAATTTTTTAAAAAGGAAAACAAAAATTGAACAGATCGGGTACAGTGGCACATGCCTGTAATCCCAGAGGTTCGGAAGGCTGAGGCAGGAGGATCTCAAGTTCAAAGCCAGCCTCAGCAACAATGAGGCACTAAGCAACTCAGTGAGATCCTGTTTCTAAGTAAAATACAAAATAGGGCTGGGAATGTGACTCAGTGGTTGAGTACCCCTGAGTTCAATCCCTGGTACCAAAATAAGTAAATAAATAAAAAGAACAGAAAATAACACAGTGCATTATGTAAAAATAGGTATTTTGTGAAATTTTAGCTTCAGTTTTATATATGTGATAAAAATTTATTCCACAGAATATATATTTTCTAAAAGTTTAAAAGTCAATATATAAAATTCACCTTTCAATTCTTCTTTACCACCCAGAACCTCCATTACAACTTGTGACCATTAAACAAAAGGTAGAAGGGAAGGAAAAAAGGGAGGAGGGAAGAAGATGCTGTGGGAAACAGGGGGATTCTCCAGTACATTCAGTATGGTTAGGATGGTAATAACCTCCAGGGCATAATTGTGAACAAGTGGGAGAACAGAGAGGTGCTACTCACTTGTAGTTCATTCAGAAATGTATTTATGAACATGTGGGGCCTTTCAGGTTATCACAATCCTGAGAGGTATACTAGTCTTTAGTTCACAGAATCCAGAGATACAACATCCTGAAATGGTCATGCAATCCCACACAGAGAATTGTCTCTCTGCAGAACTGCCAACAGAGCCTTCCCAGCCCTCAGTGAGAAATACTGAAAGTAGATTATAACTTAACTCACATATATGGAGATACCCTGGCTCTTACCTGAAGTCTTCCTGCAGAAGTGGAATTGGACATGGACATGGAGATATAGAGCCATGTTGCAGAACCTAAAAATCTAGGACCTGCTATATTTTCTCAGCTTTCCCACTCCAGCAATCCCATGACACTCCCATCCACTGGGGAAGGAGAGGAAACAACGGGTATCAAGGCAGCCTGGGTCACTGGGTCACCTCAAGGCAGGATATCAGACCCTGTACCAGAAACCCACCCAAGATTACAGCACACCTCTGAAATCATAGCTACATAGGGGAGATGGAAGTCATTGATAACTTCCAGGTCCACTGTCATCTGAAATTCATAAACATGGAGCACATGAGCCACAGTACAGACTTGCCCTTTTAAAAACCACAGAAGTCTTCTGCTACCTCCCTTCTATAATGTTCACTCTCCCCGCTAAGATCTGAAGCCTCAGCTATTCTTCCTCACAAGGATGACTCTTACCTCTGAAGAAGGTATGTATAGTCACCCATGCTGCTTTTTTTTTCTTTTTTATGATGACAGATGCTCTGAAATTACTCCCAGTTTTATTGTTTGTCTTTGAGAATAAATTCACAAATGGAAACATTATTTCTAAGGTTGAACACCTAGTGCCCCTGATAGCAGAGACTATCCTGGTGTACACAGACATAACTGGGGCCATCTCTACCTTTCCCAGGATCAAGACTAAAAAGATCTTCCCATATCCTCTTAAGTTAGACATCTTGTACAAAGTCACTTCTATAAAGGTAAAGGCTCAAAAACAGAGTCCAGAGGGACAAAGCTCCAGAATATGGGACAGAAACAGAGCACTGCATTTTGTTAAGAAGGAGAACAATACCATCTGGTGGAAATCAACCAAGAGCATCACCTGATGCTTTCCAGGGCCTCACATTAGACCACCTTCCACCTACTTCAATTTCTGGCATTCCATTAAGAATAAACTCAATTTTGTTTATTCGGAGTAATACTTTCCTAGTTTATATAAGTGAGGGATAGTTAGTCTCTGACATCCTATCTAGAGCTGTCATTTGATTCAGTTCAAGTCAACAGATCCTGTCACGACAACTTCTAACTGCCCCTAGCATCCATCCTCCTGCACTACTCTTATACCACACCCAACCCTATTCTTGAGTTTGAGCAGGGCCTACGGCCATCTGGCTAGCCCTTCCTGAAGTCAGGAGTCCATAAAATTGCTTGCCCTCCTCTTTTTCTCTTTTCCTCTTCTGGGGACAGGGACAGAGCCAAAGAACAGTCGAGACTGCCTCAACCACACAGATGAGGAAAATCCCAAGCAATCAGATGGAAGGGAACTGAAACCATGCAGACAAGGGTAACCCCAGGAGAATGCCACGGTAACAGAAAGATGGAAATCAAATCTCCAAGTCCATGAATAGAATTCTGCCTTCGCTTAAGCATTCACTATGTGAGAAAGTCTCTGTTTGGGGGCTCTTTATTATAGTGGCTTAGTTTTTACCCAAACCACTTTAGATTCTTGCTCAATGTTCCTTGCTCAAACCCTCCTTGTCATGCCAGAACTTGAGGCCAGGCCTCCGAGTTCCAGAGCGCACAAGAGGAAGCAGACTTCCATTCTGCCATCCCAGAGCCCTGACACTGCACTTGCCTGGCACCAGGAGGCCTTCAGAACTAATCAACATGAAGGAAATCTTGTCAAGGAGTGGTCTACCACATCTTAACTCTCAGGGCACTAGTTTGTCATTGTTTTCTCATAACTTCACTATAAGAAGTCCTATAGGACTAACTTCCTATATGAAGGCTCATGGGAGGACTTAAGAAGCAACCTTTATAGAAGAGAAGCAGTTCCTGCAAGACCAAAAGAAAGTCCACACAGCCATGTTTCAGTTCTGAGCAGAAGCAGTTAGATTGAGGACAATATGTGATGGGAGCCAGGACTTGGGTTATAGACTTGGCTCCACCTCAGAAGCATGGAAGTGTGGCCACCCTACTCAAGGGCCTACTTGCTGTATTTGGTTTAAAAAAAAAAAAAAAATGGGGGAAGGGTAGGTTATAAAAGCCCACACACTCCAGTAAGAGTTATACATCTTTTTCAGAGCTTACATGAACTTAGGTCATCTGACATGTAGAATATAATCACAGAAGGAAATTCACACTTTAGTTTCACTCCTCAAACTTTGGGTCATTAAAAGCCAGAAGTCTAGATCCAAAAAGCCTAAAATTTCTATATGAGCAAATCACCAAGAAACAAATATATTAAAAGCAACTAATCATGCTAGAGAGCAGGTCTTGCCAACAGTCACTCTTTTGGCAGCTTTCAACCCAGCTTTCAACTTTACTAGGCTTGAGCCTAGGAATTCAAAAACCAGTCTGGGCAACATAGCAAGACTCCATCTCAAAAAAAAAAAAAAACACCTTTTTCTTAAAAAGGTTAATGTGGTAGATTTTATATTACGTATATGTTACCACAATTAAAAACAAAAAATTCAGAATGCGCACCAAAATAAAACACGCTATATCTTTTTTTTTTGGACTGGGATTGAACCCCAGGGTACTTTACTAATAAGCTAGATCCCCAGTCCTTTCTATTTTTTTGATTTTGAGAAAAGGTTTTGCTAACTTGCTAAGGGCCTTGCTAAGTTGCTGTGGCTGGCCTCAAACTTCTTATCTTTTGCCTCAGCCTTCCAAGCCATTGGGATTATAGGCGTCTACTACTATGCTTGGCAATACATTATATCTGGATAGTGGCGCCAGCTACATGGGTGCATATATTTTCAGAATTTAATAAGTTCTTAAAATAGGTGAATTTAATTGTTAAATTAAACAATTAAATTTAAAAATGGTCGATATCTTTAAAAAGGAATGTTGATAATATAACAGTATGCCTGATTTTGTGAATTTTCTACTTCTCAAATTTATCCCACCCCCATTCAGTACCAAACCAGACTCCTCCTGAAAGTTTCAGGTACAATACTTACTGCAAAATGCTCATTTTGAGCTGCAGGCCGTGCAGAACCTCGATCACTCTCTGCACATCACCAAGAAGCTGATGGGTGGCCACAATCTTCTTGGCATTCTGATGGGAGTAGTTCTCTTCTAGAAATGCTAGGCCATGCATATGTCCCCTGCTCAACCACTCCTTGTCATACCAGTACTTGAAGCCAGGCCTCTGACCTAAAACAGTGACAAAGAAAGGGTTAAACATGGTCTGGAGGAAATCCAGGTCATTTAATCATTACATAATCATTGCATGAACTACTACTGAAAGATGAACTGCTGTGTTCATTTTGTTCATTTATTCATCCAGTGTACACTCAGTTTACACTGACTCCATGCTGGACTCTCCGCTAGGTGTTGGGGACGAGGCATCTACATTCCCTGATCTCACAGAACTGGCCAGAGGTGGAACATGAACCTGAGTTATATCTTTAAATTTAAATCATGTCATTTCCTTCCCTACTTAAAATCTTCTGCTACTTTCAGCTGCTCACTGAAGAAAACCCCAAACCCTAATTCTGGCTAATGGAGGCCTTCAGTACCCAGCAACTTCCCTCCCTCTTCTCCCCAACCTTACAGTGGCCTCCTCTTAGTTTCTAGAATACACACACAAAAAAAAAAAACCTCTTCCCAGGCTTGGCCTCTTGGTTCTAGCACCCCCTCCGTCTGGAGCACTATTCCTCCAGGACACTGCAGGGGTGGTTCCTTACCATCTCCTCAGAAAGGCCTCTTGCTACACCTCCCAAAGTTAAGAGAGCTTTTCAGAACCATGGGTCATTCCCTCTTTTAATGCCCCCCTCCCCACCACAGTTTCATCTCTACCTAACAAAATTTTGTTTATTTACCTCTTTTTTAACATCTGTTTCTGTTCTCAATCCCTCTAAGAATCAAAAGGAATAGAAACCATCAAGTTCAAGGTTGTAGCTATAGTGCCTAGCAAAAATCACCTTGAATCAATTTACCAAAAGAATGGAAAGAAGCTCCAATTCCCATTACAACTGTACCACCTATTACAACTGTACCATCCTTCGCTTCTCTGGACCTCTATTTCCCATCTGTTACACAACAGGGATACTTCAGTGGTCCTACTCATTAAAAGGCCTCCATAGGAAAGACTAAAACCATAAGCACAGGTGACTCAGTAACATTTTCTAATCCAAAAGGCTAGGATACAGCTTCTAACCAGATTGTGGGTTGTTCATCTGTCAAAAACTACAAAAACCTGAAGTAACCCAGGTAATCTCGTATCAAGATCCTTGGACTTCTGGCCTTTACTAACACACACAGTAGAGAGACAACTTGATTCTGTTAAAAACATTTTTAAGAATTGAAACTGTTAGGTTAAACCTTTGGTCCAACCTACTCAGAGTCAAATAGTCTATAAAAAAGCAGGACATGTGACAGACATTCAAGGCTCAGTTCAAGGAAGAGTCTATCCACAGTCTTGCCAATTAAAAACTTATACAAGAAGTTCAGAAAGTTCACAGGACATGCTGAAAACAGTGTGTGCAATTTCTAAAGTGGAGAGAAAGACAAGGTAAAAAGACATTTAAAGGGTATCCTAGGGAGCCTTTGAGATTATGGGGAGAACCTCACAGGCAGTTGCTGTAGCAGGGCCCTAGTAGCAGGATTCAGAACAGCACTTCCTATTTTATAAGACAAAAGTCAAAACCTTTGTCTCTGGTTCTCATCACCTGTCTGGCATTAACTGGTGGAGTGATCTTTGGCTAATCATATTTTTTCCAGGTTTGTGTTTGCTCATCTGTCTAACCACTTGACCATATGCTTTCCTGGGGATAAAGAGACAAACAGAGGCAGATTCTTCTCTATCTATGCACTAATCTTGTACAAATAAAGATAGTGTCACAATAGAGGTCTTCAGAATCTGACTGTTGGGAAATGAACAATGGTGGTCAGTTCCTCCCTATATAACTAGAAAAATCAAGAGATTTGGCACCACAAACCAGTTCTAACTCCAATTACTTTATGAGGTTAGGAAGGTCATTTGTATCAATTTTTTTCCTCATGAGCAAATGAGAGTAGAAGACCCACCTGGCCATCTCATAAAATTAAGCAAAATAACAGAAATAGAGGTTCCCATGCATTGTCTACCTACAATGGAATTTGGTGGACAGGAGTTATGGAGAGATGGCAGAGGTGGTAAAGGGAGATTATGTCACCATCCCACTGACAGCAGGATGAGAGATAGGTTTACAATCCTCCCTTCTGGGAAGAGGCACCCAAGAGCCACAGGTGGCCCCTGTAACCACAAAATTAAATGGTCCTGCTATCAAGACACTGCTCTGGGTGGCAATAAGTCCTAAGCAATCATACCATTGCCCTTACCCTCCAGGGCACCTCTCCTTTCCAGGTGGCAATGACCCAACAGGTGGGAGATGTCACCACAGGAAACAGAGGCAGGTTTCTAATCCTCCAGTATCCCCCAAAAGCCAAGGATCGAACCCACATATCATTCCTCACTAGCCCTCAAGAAAAGGAAAAGGTGCCCATGCAGAAGCACATATGCTAAAACTTGGATCACTAACAGAAGATTAACAGGGCCCTGAGCAAGGATGAAATGCTAATTCATGGAGCATTCAGTATTCTTTAATAATAGAGTTTCAATCAAGCCAGATGAAAGTGTTTATCATGAACAATATTGTACTGAATGCAAAGTAGATATTTTTTGTTTTTGTTTCCAACCACAATTTAAAAAAAGAAAAAATTCTAACTCAAGGCCAGGTCTTCTACACATACTCTCTCACAGGTAAGTTCAGGAGAACTGGCCACCAGATGTGCTAAAAAGGTGAGGAGGAATCAGAGTCTAAATGATGCCGAAGAAATTAGTCTCAAGATCACATACACTTAGGATGTTTCATGATCAGCTTGCTAAGGAAAAGGCTATATACTGTTAATACCCCTGACTTTAGAAATCTCTACCTGGAGGGTCTTGGCAAACATAACAGGTGTATTTCTCGGGCACATTTTCTTCCAGTAATCCCATGCAGACCCCATGCTGCCAGCACTGGCACTCTTCACACTGTTAGAATTAAAGAAGCAACAAAAATTAAACTCAGAAGGTGTCCTCTAACCAAGTATGATCCACTTGCTAGAGGAACAGGTAGAATGAAAAGGGAGGGAGCACTCCCTATACTGACTTCTAAACCACTATCTAATGTGGTAGCCACTGGCCACATGAGGCTGTATAGTTAAATGAACAAGTTGAAAAGTCAGTTTTCAGTACCCCAGGCCACCTCTTTAATGCCCAGCAGATACATGAGGCTAGCAGACACTGCATAGTATAGATAAAGAACATTTAGATATATTAAATAGTGCTAACCTCAAAATAATGAGGGTTTCACTTCCATTTCTAGAGGATTTTACTTTCCTGATTACTTTATGGGAATTGAATGAAAATCATTTAGATCTTTAGAGAACTAGACTAACTTGAAGTGACAAAAAGCTGAGTTTGCATTACGGCTCATTCATCAGCTGTGTGACTCTGCACATGTCACTTATCCCTGGGCTTCAGTTTCCCCATCTGTAGAATGGGATACTATTTATATACATCCCAGGGCTGTCTGTGAGGATTCAATGATTCATATACAAATCACCCACTATAGAGCCTAGCACACGGCTTTATGTATTAAATTCCTATTACTAATGGACAACCAATTCACTTTGATCCCCTTGGAATAATCATGATAACATTTCACATTTATTCTATTCAAACATTATCAAATATCATACAACTGGTTAAGAGGCAAAAGTGGATGAGAACATGAACTTGGCTAATTGTATAACTAACTGTTTTAACCCCTAGGCTCTACTGCCTTCCCTGGGTATTGGAGAGTAGAGGTAAAGTGGTAGGAAGCTGAAAAGGAAAGGAAGGATTTAATGAGGGTGGCATTGGGAGACATGTAGAGAGCCACAGTCTGAAGCGAGAGGAAGGAATGGAGAGAAAAGGCAGTCTTCCAGAGAGAGAGAACAAGGACACTTCAAACAATTCCAATCCAAATTCCTAAATCTTAATTACCCAACCAACAGATAAGCACTGGGGTGGACAGTGAGCTTCCTGATATGGCTCTGATGGTGAGCCACCAGTCCAGCAACAAGGAAATAGAAAATCAAAGCTTAGACAATCCTCAACCACTTGAAGTCAATAAGTCTCAGCATCAAGAAGGCTTCCCTGGGCAAATATAAGACTTCTAGTAAACTAACCACACCAAATCACCATGGGCAGAACTAGAAGGGAGACCTGAGATAAGAGTCTCCAATTTACTCCTGTGAAAACTAAAGCTCTGAGAGGAAAAGTAAAGTGTATAAGACAATAAAGGCAATTAGTAGCAGAAACAGATTAATAATTATGAATGAAAGTCGGGCTAAGTGCAATGGCACATGTCTGTACTCCCAGCTATTCAGGAGGGTGGGGCAGAAGGATCACAAATTGATGCCAGTCTCAACAATTTAATGAGATGCTGTCTCAAAAAAATAAAGAATAAAAAGCGTCAGGATGTAGCTCAGTGGTAGAGTGATCCTTGGTTCAATCTCCAATACTGAAAAGAGAAGAACGAAAATCTGCCTCATGGAAGGGGAGGGAGCATGGGGGTAGGAATGATAGTAGAATGAATCAGACATTATTACCCTGTGGGTATATATGATTATACAACCTATGTAAGTCTACATCACGTACAACCAAAAGAATGAGAAGTTATACTCCATTTACGTATGATGTGTCAAAATGCATTCTACTGTCATGTATACCTAATTAGAACAAATAAAATATATTTTAAAAAATAAAATAGCATGTGAATTTGCAAAATAAGAAAAAGAAAATCTGCCTCACCAATGACTTTGTATCATGAGAACTAGGACTCACCAAAAATAAGTCGAATACAGCTAAATTTCAAAATTCATAGTGATGAATTTTCATATGGGCCTGGCTTATATATATTATTCATTTAAAAAGTTTAAATTTAGAAAGTAGAATAACATGGTCTTGGGTTGTGTCTCAGCAGTAGAGCGCTTGCCTAGCATGTGTGAGGCCCTGAGTTTGATCCTCAGCACCACATAAAAAAATAAATAAATAAAATAAAGGTATTGTGTCCAACTACAACTAAAAAGTAAATATTTAAAAAAGAAAGTAGAATAACCTGAAAGATAACATATCTATGAATGAACATAACAAATATGCAAGATTTCTATAAAGAAAATCTTAAAATACTATTTGAAGAAAATAAAGACAATGCATCCTAATCCTGGAGAACAAGAGTCAGTATCATAAAGGTATCAACACTCCTTGAGTTCATAGATAAAAATAATGTAGCTCCAAAAAAATAGCAAATACATAACTTTGTAACAGATGAAAAAATGGTAAAAAAAAAATTTGTAATTCCTACTACAGCCTATACAAAACCTCTATAAAAAGCCTATACTACTGAGTATGGTGTACACACATGTAATTCCACATACCGTGTAATCCCAACTACTTGGGAAGATGAGGCAGGATTGCAAATTAAAGACCAGTCTCAGCAATTTAGTGAGACCCTACTCAAAAAAAGCGGGAGAGGGATTGAGAACGTAGCTCAGTGGTACAGCACTTGCCTGGCACATCCAAGGGCCCTGGGTTCAATCCGCCTGCAGTATCCCCAATAAAAGCCTATATAATTAGTAAGAAAATGACAAACCCTTGGCCTAAAGGATATAAAAATATAGGTTAAGGGAGGAAGGTTAATTCTTAATAAAAAGATGTACAGATCAACCATTACAATTAATATTAACCAACTTGAATTAATATAAATTAATATAAAATAAAACCAGACAAATATATGTATATACATTATTTTTTCTAGGTTTTAAAACTGGAGAGCTGGGAGAACTGGGGTTATAGCTTAGTGACAGAGCGCTTGCCTCGCATGTTCCATCCTCAGCATCACATAAAAATAAAGATATTGTGTCCATATTTTAAAAAATGCATTCCACTATTGTCATGTATTTAATTAAAAAAAAAAAAGAAGGGCTGGGTGCCATGGCGCACGCCTGTAATCCCAGCAGCTCGGGAGGCTGAGGCAGGAGGATCAAGAGTTCAAAGCAAGCCTCAGTAAAAGCAAAGTGCTAAGCAACTCAGTGAGACCCTGTCTCTAAATAAAATACAGAAAAGGTATGGGGATGTGGCTCAGTGGTCAAGTGTCCCTGAGTTCAATCTATGGTACCAAAAAAAAGAAGGTAAATATCAGTAAATTCTTTGTAGTATTATGAATCTCATGAAGTATTTATAATAAATATTTTATTCTAAGAATGTTATTCTCATTGAAAGCTTGTTTCTATTCCACACACACTTATATTCCAGAATATTAACATCAGTTATCCCTGGGCAAAAATAATGTAACTCTTATTTTCATTGTGACTTGCTATGTCTCCTAAGTGCTAACTTATTTTTAAATAATCTTCTGAAAATATCATAATAAGTTTCAAAATGGCCATACTAAAAGACCCATTTTCATTAATCTAAAGGACAAAGACAAAACACCCAAATTAACAAAGGTTCTGGACAGTTCTTTGGTATAATCATCCTCACCTGCCTTGAAAGAACCTGGGAAATTTGATTTGGTTTATCACAATGAAAATGGAACCGAGATAGTTGAGTATGCTGTGACACAGGAGAGGAAGATGACAGTTTTTTGGAAAGTTGATTGATCCAAGACTGATTCTTGAATCTCCAAGTACCACCTCAAGTATAGAACATGTCTGAGGATGACCTTTCCACCTCATAGTTTATAAATGTCTTTTTTGTGAAAGTGACTATAACCTGAACTTTTTTTTTTTTTTAAAGAGCATTTGAAAGTCTGGATTTTTTGTTATCTTCATTTGCCTGCATAAGGGAAAAAAAAAATCTACCTCATCATTTAAAATAATATGGGTGGTTTGTAGACCCCCTGATTTTTCTTCAAGTTGATTTCAGTTAACAAAAGTTAGAACTTGACATTCCCTGCAGACATTGTTATATCCCAATAGTCTGGTTTCTTCTCATTTTCTATTTTTTTGACCATTAAGTAGCGATCGTCAGTAGGAGTTTATAATACCAAGTACAAGAATGTGCTGCGGATCTTGTTTCAATAAGTAACATTTTAAAATATTAAAGCATGTTGCTTGAAATTTTTTTAACATTTGAGTTGTTCCATTAAACATGGAGCATCTTATAAATTTCAAGTATGTTATACTTGAAATTGCCAAGAGTTAACAGATAGTTGGGTTTGTTGCAGACAGTGGGTTCAAGAATCCTTTCACATTTTCCTAATTTAAAAATTAAGGATTCTCAGGACCCTGTGTAAGAGCAGTGTGCCTGGAGGAGAACTGTGTTACCTTGGGAAGAGGATTTGCTGTGGGACTTAAGACCATGGAACATGTTATCTTGCTACAAGATGCCAGGCACCTGCTCAGTGGGTTGGAGTGAGGATCTTGAACAGAAACTTCCTTTTTTTTTTTCTGTTATTACTCAATACAAAGCAAAAATGGCTAAATATATACTGTGAAAAAGGCTTTCTTCTAACAAAAGATCAGATCCTCCTTCAGCTTTGCAAATTTTTAAATAAAATCATATTGAACATTAAAAAAAAGAGTATATATAATATTGCTATGGTGGGGCTGGGGTTGTGGTTCAGCAGTAGAGTGCTTGTCTAGCACGTAAGAGGCCCTGGTTCCATCCTCAGCTTCACATGAAAATAATATAAAGGCATATAAATAAATAAATAAAGTTACTGACAACTACAACTAAAAATAAATATTTGCAAAAAAAACATTGCTATGGCAACTAGTAATTATTTGTCAAAATTATAAATATATATACCCTTTGGCCTAGGAGTTCTACTTCCAAAATGTGTTCTGATAGATATGCTTACACAAATGTGAAATAACTTAATTTAAAATTATTACTACAAATGCAGTAGCACACACCTATAATCCCAGCAACTTGGGAGAGGAGGATCACAAGTTTGAGGCCAGCCTCAGCAACTTAGTGAGACCGTATCCTAAAACAAAAAA